TATTTTTGAGTTTACACCAAACAGGTCCAAGAATGCAGAACTGAACTGCCGTCCATATGCACGTGTCTTTTTGCCCTTACAATAATGTCCTTGCTGACAGATATTTAGGTACTATGTGTGTCTTCTTTCTGGGCCCCTTGCTTATCTCCTTTCCTCCTGACACTTACCTACTAGATTGTCCATATTTACAACCCAAATTCAATCATTCTGACCTCACCAGCAACATTCTCTTTGTCAGTTTCTTATGAGCATCTTCAGATGCTTGTGCCGATAGTTACGTTATTGCATTTGCTTCTGGCATCCCCTTTTTGCGGATCTAAGCATGTTCTTGTTTAACCACAGACTCCCTGGCGGCCTGGGAGAGTGAGTTCCCCTGGGCTTAACTTCACTACAGGGCCTCTGCCTAGCAATAGCAACCTCTGCCAAACTTTGTTTTAATATAGTAAAACAATTTATATGAATCTAGGGGTGGGCGATATTACGATATTTGATTGTGAAAGATTAAAATGTCTCCACGATCTTCCATTTCAGAGAGATTGGTACTATCGTGCTATGGAGGACTGATCCTGACAAATTCAGAAATAAAGAAATAAATATTTAAATTATATAAAGGAGACATAAATGTATATACAGTATATTTTAATTAGCTGCTTTACTAATTCGCCTTTGTAATAATTACCTTATTTATTTATTGTCTGTTATAATCTTCTACTTTATTTATTAATTACTTCTAAATGTATTTATTTATGTGTGTGTTTTAATATTTTTGTCTGTTTTATTCTTCCTTTGTATTTTTTTTACCTTATTTATTTTCACCCATGGTATTTATTTCTGCCTGTCCTTTTTACATTTCTCTATGCATTTCTGCCTCATTATGTAAATGAGGAGGGGCTGCGTCTCAAGGGGTGAACTTCTCCCCTATTGGTGGACCAGTCAGACAGGAGAGCTCCTACTCTGCCTGCAGACATCAACAAGCTTGCTCCTCACACAGTCAGATGGTTTCCTTCAGTGCGCTGAGCTGTTTAGAAGCTCTATTTGAATAAAGTACTACCAGCAACGTCTTCCTTCCCTTTTCATGTCGGCACTCTGACAGACAGTGTTTTCAGTTTCATTTAAATTTCTGAATTTGTCAGGATCAGTCCTCCATATCGTGCTACAGTGCAAAATCTATCAGTTTTAGTTCTGTGGCTAATGCAGCTGCTCTGTCAACATTGCAAGTCAGCTGCCTGCGTCCTCCGCTTAACATTAAAGTTCTCCGTGTCTCCCAGCTGCTCTGCCTCAACTCTCTGGGATTTACGGAGTTTTCTGATGAATAGAAAGTGTTACTTGTTAGACTGGGAGTTACACTACTACTCTACTGGAGGTTTTCAGGCCAGGACAACGTCAGAGAGCTGCGCTCCAGAACCGGAGCTGGAGCCAAGTGAGCAGTTGATGGACAGATACATTTACTTTTTGCTAAACCACTAACTGTATGTGTCTGTATCTGTAGCTAGTTAGCTAGGTTAGCAGTGTTGCTAGCTGTCCTTTATTAGCTGAGTCTGCCCCAGGGCGCAAAAAAACCACCTCAGTGCTGTATTCCCTGTCTTCAAAATTAGCCTCTATCGGTCTTGGAGGCTGTGTTCAGTCCTGGTCCAGCTATAGTGTTTACTCACTGAGAGCTAAACCATTACGCACAGTCTACATGACAGGGTGGGGGGGTGTAACACACATTCAGCGCTATTGGCTACTGTAGACGCCAATCGATATCTGCAACAAGTCCTTCCCTGTCTTTGTGTTTTTAAATATGCAGAGAACCAAACAGCACATTCTTTCATGGCAAAATGAAATCTTTAAAATGTTATAAGGACAAAACAAATCAGTTCTTTGTTGTTTAAATGAATCATTAGGCAATATTGTATATGATTAATCAAGTAGTGTTATTTTTCTAGTCTTAAAGAGGTGGTATTCTGCTCATTTTCAGGTTCAAAATCCTATTTAGGGGTTGTACCAGAACAGGTTTACATGGTTTCATTTTCAAAAAAACTTTTGTTGTACATGTTGCCGACCAGCTTAGCAACATGGACTGGAGCAAGAGTTTCAGAGTGGTGAGTTATTAATCTGTAACAAAAGTATCTTTCATCCATAGAGTTTTAACTGAGCTCTGTCTCTACATCACAGGAACAACTTTATGTCCACTGACTGCCTGGAGGGTAGCTAGTGTTTGGAAGGGAGAGGAGAGCTGTGTGCTGCAGCTCACTGTTTCACAGTCACAGGAAATGCAATGTGTTGGTCAGGGAGACTAGTGTTGACTGCTTTATCATAAATGCATTTACAAAACAAGACGACGGCCATTTTCAACAAAAAGTTGACAGCGGACCAGTTTGAAATATTGCAGCGATATAAGAGTCACAAGCAGACACATTTCTAGAGCTATTATCTGAAAAGCAGCAGGTGGAAACTGCAGGCTACACCAATTCCTTCCACTTTTGCGGTTTCCAGACTCATGCCATTTGCAGCATAGATTCAGATCATTACTGCTTACGTAAATGGAAAACCACAAATTTCTGCCTGGATTATAGTTTAGCTGCCCAAGACTTCTTTTACCTGTAGTATTAAACTGCATTTGCTGTTACCACCAGTTACTACAAGTGTCACATGCACAATAACGTCACAATGCATAATGGCAGAATGTATTTAAAAAATGGTTGATTTATATTTCCTGCCAATCGGAATTGCTCTTGCAGTTAGATTCACAATTACAGATTTTAACCATCACTCCTGAGAGCCTCCTTGGCAAAAGTCTGAAAGCATTTTCTAATTAAGTAGGTTAAGTGTCATTATGGACTTACCATATTTTTAGGAGTCTGTTCACAAAAAATTCTAAATTTGGCCCTCGTGGTGCTTAGAGAATTTCCAGTCATTCATCCACATAACGACTACACAAATGAACAAAATGCTGTTTCTCAAGGCCCATGGTGCTTAATACAAGATTACAATAACCAACTTTTAAGACACAAACATGTAACTACACTAGACGAGACAAAAAAAGGAACAGATATATTAAGGTGGAGTGAAGGTGGTTTGGTTGGAGCATTGTAGAGTGCGTAGTTCAACACATATCTGACTCTCTACTAATAACAGCAGCCTCACAAATAAAAATAGCAACAGCAGAGGTCAGTAATAAGGCTGTAGTAATGTAATAATGCTATGCAATGTTGGCTACATTTATATGAAGTATCATTAAATAGCTGCATTTCATTACTACTATTACTACTTTGGATTGTTACAAATACTTTGCTTTAAAAGTACCAAATAGTCACACAGTAAGGAAAATACATTTTTATCCTGTTCATTGCATTGTAGCCTCATAATCGTAATGAGGTTCCTATTCCAACCCTTGAGGTGTTGCATCGTGGTGCATCGAGGAATTTAACTGAATCGAAGCGCTGACCTGATAATCGTACCGGAATCAAGTCGTATCGTGAGACCAGTGAAGATGCACACCCCTAACGCTTATCCTATGTACAGGGCCGCGGGGGGCTGGAGCCAATCACAGCTGACATCGGGCGAAAGGCGGGGTCCACCCTGGACAGGCCGCCAGTCCATCACAGTAGCATGTAAATGTATGTTGTTTAATAAAGAAAACAATACGGATTACTTATAATATGCAAAATATGTTGAATACCAACTCAATATAAAAAGGTAACTTATAGGTACATTTATACTTAATCGTTATCTTAGCTTTTTGTACATAATTACTACGTTATATTGGAAACAGATTTATAACACAATTAGCCTACCATTTTGAAGCCTCGAATTTGGAGCCAGTGAGGGATACACATTGCTACACCTGACAAGTTGACGTGGTAGTGAATTGTCAATCCCAGGCTTTGCTTTATTATCTGATTTACTCTAAACTGGACCATAATTTACAACATGAACATTTTGCTTTATTGAATACTTCAAACTAACGATCAAGAAAATTGAACACTTATTAGCCCGATGCCAGCTGGGATTGGCTCCAGCCCCCCAGCGACCCTGTGCGCAGGATAAGCGGTTGACGATGGATGGATGGATGGATGGATGGATGGATGGATGGATGGATGGATGGATGGATGGATGGATGGATGGAAAGGGTTCAGTGAGGTAATAAATCAATCAAGAACGTCGCTTGGTTCGACCTCTAGCAATTAGAATCTGTTACGTTCCATAAAATCCCTGTTTTATTCTCATGCAGTCATCAGACAACAGTCAGAACATGTGTGTGGAGAAAATGAAGTCAAGAGCAGAAGACGGGTTGTACTGGGCAGCGTTTGTGAATAAACACATAGGTTTAATAAAACTTTAATGTGATTAACAGCTGACCTCATTGCAGCAGAGGGTTGTCCTCCTTTAAAATCAATGATACGATCATTTGACCAGTCACTCTTGAAGGACACAAAGCTGGGTTCAGGTCCAGGTCCAGGTCCAGCAGAAGCTGGTCTCCTATAGATCCTATTAGACAGAAAGGAAGTTAACTGTTTAGTCTTCAGCCACAGAAGCTGCAGGAGAATCTCGCAGCTATCAACAAGAAAGGTTAAAACATGAAGCGCAATATCCGTTACTTTTTTTAGTAAAATATTGGACCAGACCAGGACTAAATGTTCTGATCTCTGAGCAGATCTTACTGTTGCTGACAGATAGAAAACTTAACTGTGGCTCCATCAGCAGCAGCTCTGTTGGCCTGTATTCTAACGTTTGCATTTCTAGACTCACCACAAATATCCTGACTGCTGTTTACAGACTTTGGTAGGTGAAGCATTTTAGGACAAAATCCAAAGAGGAAGTTTCAGACTAAAAAGAGCTGAACTTGATTTGTGGATCTCAGACTGCTGAAGTCTCATTTTATCCTCAGCTGAACATAATGTGTTTTTACACAGAACCAGGACTGCGATTTGAGTCCTGGACAGTTAGAGATCCTCATCTCACCTCTGAGCTTTGGTCTGGCTGTCATGTTCCCCACACAGAGTGCTTTTAGAGGGAGGGACTCCCTCCTCTCTGTCCTCACACTGACTCATGCTGCTCAACTCACATCCACTTTCACCTGGAGAGGAAACACAAATCATTCATCTGCACATCAACTCAAATCAAGTTAATGTGCTTACTTATATAGGTGTTGAGAGACGTGTATTTACTGTATTTTTGTGTTGTCTTTGCAAAGCTGCAGAACAGACAATACAGTAAAGCTGCGTTTTGACCAAAGGAACTTTACCCAGGATCTAGGAACCTTCGGAGGAACTCACTGCGTTTCCACCGAAGGGAACAGGGTCTAAATTTACTTCTGGGGTCTTTATTTTACCCACCAAAAAGTCCCTGCTCCGGGGATAGTACTTTCCGAAAGTACCAGTACTTTGGGGGGCTTGCCTTGCAGTGAATTTCTAAATGGGCGAGTAGAGGCTACTGGCTTTAACTGGCTGTTTGTCTGTTACTGCTCCACTTTTCCACTATTGCTTGCAAACCAATAAATCACAATCAACAGTCAGAGAGCCACACGAGTTTCGCTGATGTCCGCCGGAGTTGTAGCTACATCGGCATTAAATGTATCGCTGGGAAACAGCAGCCAGCGTGCAGCGGTGTGTTTACAGCGAACAGCCGAGCTGAGTTACGATGTTGTTGTTGTTGAAGTTTTTTCATCAAGTTTTTCCACAGAGCTGAAGTCGGTCTCTTCCTCTCCAAAACAAGCGGAACTGCTGATTACAGCAGGTAATAAAGCTGGTTAAACATCCTCCGACGCTCAGGCGACACTGACGTGATGCTGCAGCTGATCTGCAGCTCTTGTCGGCTGGAAATTTTTTAATAACCTTCCAAACTGTCTATTTTAGTGTTGCTTTCTCTTTGCTGGAGTTCTTTTATGAACTTTATGGTTTTATCCACGTGATTATTAAATGTGTACTGTGGCTCAGGAGGCAGAGCGGGTTACCCGTTAATCGGAAAGTCTGAGGTTCAACCCCCCCAGGCTGCATGTCCAAGAATCCGTAGGCAAGATACTGAACCCAAAATTGCCCCTGGTGGGGCTGTTCCCCCTGTGTGTGAATGTTAGTTTCTGTTTGAGCACTTAGGCTCAGTGTTTGAATGCAGATGTAGTGTAAAAGACTAGAAAGGCGTTATACAAACACGGAGCGTTTACATCTTTATCGCGCGTCTCTTCATTTTACTCCCACACAAAAAAGCTGCTTTAATGGTCGAGCACAGCCTGTACTTCTTCCTTATATTTCAGTCAAATCTGATGTTCATTTTAAATGTTGCTCATGGATCTTGGTTACAAATAATGATGCCGGTGCATCGCTGTGTACAGCCAGGCCTACGTCAGCTGGTTAATTTTCCTAATCTTCACAGGTGGAAACGCACACAACAGTGGGCTGAAGGAACCTTTTAGTTCCTTGAAAAGAGATCCGGGGACTTTTGGTCGAAACGCAGCAGGTTAAGAAGAAATTAACTCTGAGCTCCCCTGTGCTGGTAAACGTCTCCGTATAGAGCAGAATCCAGTGGAACTGGAAACTTGGTGTTAAACTATCAAACAAAGCAACTTACAGTTTCTTCAAAACGCCCAAAGTGTTGATGAAGCAGACTCTCACTCGACGGCAGCAGAGAAAAGGCTTCGACACCGGTGAGCTGTTTCCTGGAGTCAGAGCTGCACCTGTAATGGATGCAGGCAGGTATGAAGGGTTTGCAACTGGGGCAGAATGTCACCATAAGATAACAGGAGGTTTTATTTACTGGTGTGTACTCATCTCAGCTTTGTCAAGACTTGGCGTTGTTTTTGTGCGTGCATGCTGTTTTGTCCAGCCAGAATTAGTACTAGTGTTATATATTAGCCTGTACTAGTAAATACCATTATAATGAATACACGAACATTAGTCCTAATCAAACCTTAACCACAGCGGTGTAATATCAGAAAATGGTTTTATTTCACTTTGCTTAATCCAAATGAGTTAACATAAATGCTTACCTACATTTCATATTTCATTTGCTAGATTAATCATATTTTATAAGGTGGTCACAAGATTGGTTTGTAAAATCTTAAGCTGTCAGATCAATCGAGTAAAAAGTACAATATTTCCTGGAACTCTGAAATGTTTTCTGTTAACAATCTGATAGAGTCACTGACCAGAGCTGCTCAAATTCCCAATTAACAGATTGATTCACCTGCACAAACAGCATGAAACCCACAGAGAATATTATAGCGTTGTAAGCAGTACTTGGAGGAGAATAAATTATTGTCGGGGATGTTTTTTACACGGAGAAGAGAAGCTGCGCCACGACGACCAGAAGTGAAAGTAAAGTTCCAACCAAAATACGAAATCCAACAGAAAGACAGAAATAATTTGAATCCCACTATAACTTACTGCAACCCGCTCACAGCAATAAGCCAACAAGATGAGCAAAGAGGCGTAAAAGTGTCGGTAACATCACAGAGAAATGAAGCTGCGCCACGACGACCGGTGTTTCGGTTTAACGAGTGGCCCCGTTAACCGGTGAGCGTCTGTGTTCGTCGTAGAAACGACAGCTGTTGGAAACAGGAAGAGAATATGTAGCTGTCCGCTTTGTTCATTACATCGTCAGAAACCGAGTAGGAACCCTCAGTCTGCAAGGTTGCTTCATGTTTCAGGACATGTTCAAAACAGGAAGTGAGCAGATTGTCCTTCCTGTGAACGGCTGAATATCTGCAATAAAATGTATAAACTCAACACATTTTCGTCTTTTGAGTCTGTTTAAGTAAAGATGTTGCACTTACAAGAACTAGTAAGCCCCTTTAAAAAGGTAGAAAACAACTGGTCTGTACAGGATTCGAACTCACCTTTAGGGCGTCATGAAAGTGAAACCCACTAGTCCATTGTGACCACATTAATAAGCTGATAGCGAAATACAATATTCCAGTATAATTATATTACCAGACGGCTGTCTGCTAATATCTAGGGTGGATTCAGGTTGAGTGGGACGCTTATGGGTCCTGTACAGGGTTAATTTTGTAAGCCAATCACAACAATTGTTATTGTGTTGTTGTTGAATGTCTATTGGATATGAAACAGAGGTTGTGATTGGTGTGACATCAAAGAAGTGGTCCTGTAGCTCTTTTTCAAATTGCTTGACCCCTGGGACCTCGTGGTAAAACACCGGCAAGTGTAAATATATATAAAATTATTAGGGTGATAAATTAAACATTTTAAAGTTGTTGGTAAGAATTATGTATCTGACTACCACATTTATGGTTGGTAATGTATTAAACACACTAGGCTACACAAAAGATGGCACCCATGCAAAGAGGAGCAGAAAGAGAGAGGGATTAGTGAAAGGGGGACAGGACATACAGAGAAGCACAAACTTTATTTATACAAATCATCCGTTTATATTCCTTTTTAAAAAAATACAATTTCACAGCAGAGTCTTCTTATGATGTTGTGAAAGCATATATTTTCCACCAGCATGAAAAAGCTGATTATTGTAAAGTTACTGAAGTAAAACAAAGTTTAAGGCATCACACATGCAACAGATTCATTCGACTTTAGAAGTTGTGATTAAAGTTACTGATCTGCTTTCAGAAGTGAGAAGAAACATTGTAATCATTAAAATAACTTTTCACTTCTCTTGTAGTAAAAGCTGTTTTGTAGAAATAGTTATAAGCTTTATTAATGGCATCTGTAGATCAACATTTCTCATAATACTCCTGTAATCAAATATCTTTCCACATCTGAATATTTCTGTTCACTCTCGTCATCCATGACAAAGTTATAAAGTGCAGCTTGTTGCTTTCTAGTGCAAATCCTATAAAATCACACACCTTAAATCTTAGTTTTACTAAATGGAGTTTGGTGTGTTGAGCTGCACGCAGCCACGAAACCAAACCAAAGCAAGAAAAGGAGAAACACCTTCAATTTAAAGTGTTTTCTGTTACATCAAAATATAAAATAGGTACAGAGGAACATTTTTTTTATAACTTTATGATTAAGTTTTCAATTTTGGTGACTTTAACATAACGTTTAAAGTCTATTAAAGACAGAAGTTTACACGTAGTTACTATAGTTTTATATTCTTATTCAGTCATCTCTGCAGTAAAAATATGAAAACAACTGAATTGTATTTTTGACTCCTTTCTGTTTTGTCTTTGATTAGAAACTCAGCAGCTCCCTCTAGTGGCCAAAAACCAACACTGCAGCTGGCTTCCTGTGACAAAAACACACCTTATATATTATTTCACACACCTGTGCTCACATTTACAATCACACATTTACATCTTCTAACTCTGATCAACAACAAAAACCTGAGATTCACTGTTAAAAGACTGAATTTGATGGATTTAGGAACAAAAGAGAAGCCAAGAAACACTGATCAGCTGATTGATTGATGAGAAAGAATCAATTCGCTGTTGAGCATTTTGTTCAATACGGTCATCAGGAGATCAAACATATATTTTATTTTCTCCAGAAGTCATTCTAACTTTTTATTAATTATTTTATTAATAAATTATCACCAAATTACAAAAATATTAAGTGAAGTATTTTAATTTAAACTTGAAAATGTGCTTCAACTAAAACTAAATTTAATGTTTTAAGGCACATTTGAAAACTGATTTTGAATTTATTTGTCTGTAATTTAATTTCAGCAAATCTAAATATTAGAATTAGAATTTTTCTACTTTCAGAATCTGTCCATCAAACATTTGTTTAACATTTGTTGTTTGTTGTTGCAGATGTTGAGACTAAACATTATGAACAGCAGCTCCTGAGTATCTCGTGTTGTCTTGTAGAAAGAGATCAGGATTCAAACCTGCAGCAGATCTCACAGGTCGACGACGCTTTACCATCGGCCTCCTGAACAGAGAAACACAACCACTTACTTTCCTAAAAAGTAGACATTTTGACATATGATACATCTGAGTCTCATAATTCTGAAACAAATATCCTAATTTACTATGAAATTACTATCAAATTTTTTACTGAACATTTCATAACTGTGACATTAAACTAACTGTTTAATTATCCTGATCTGATCAGCTGACAAATAATAAAACCTCTCACTTCGCTGGTTTAGACTTTTATGTTTCCTCTTTCACACATTTCAGCACATTTTTACCTACTCAGACGCCTGACAGTGGATTAAAGAGGATTTAAATGGACTCAATAATAGTTGTAGTAGAACTACAAACACAACAAATAGAACTACAGGACCCAGCAGCTCTGACCGTTAGTGGTGCTTCCTGTGCGGCGCTGCCTGGAAGTATTCCTCCGGCGTGACGGTCTTCACCCCGCCAAAATAATCCAACACCCACACCTGAAACACGGAGGAACATGGAGGTCAACTTCCTGCCCTCTGATTGGCTGATGACAATGAGGACGTTTGGACCAATTGGGAGGTCCGTTTACTGAAAGCAGGCTGGCAGCACTCATAGTAGTAACGACAGCAGTAATAAAGTCATGTTTTATTACAGAGATATATATTATTTTTTCAACAAGTTAGATGGCTGAGCACCATAATCTGACTACCAACAGCGAATCTTGCGTGTTGGTTTTGAACGTTCTTGCAGTAAATTACTCAGAGTTTGGCAAAGACAGCACTTAAAGTAAGAATCATTGTTGTAATATTTGTAGTAACAGCAGAAGTTAAAGTACTTGTAGTTCTAGTAGTAGCAGAAGTACCATGGTTGTAGTAGCTGTTATAAGACAGTACTGGCAGTAAAAAATAAATAAATAGTAGTTGCAGTAGTAGAATTTGCAATACTCGAGTCATATGTTACTGCGACAGCACGACACATGTTTTAACAGTGGCACCAGCTGTAACAGTAAGTATAGTCGTGGCGGTACGAATATAAACACACCAGTAGTACTTCATATTTGCAGTAGTGGTACTTGTACCTGTGTGATGTTGAACTTTGCGAAGAACCAGTTGTGGTCAGACGGCCAGTCGATCATCTCCGGGTGTCGACTGAACAGAGCTTTCTTAGCGAACTCCGCCTCCGTCCCGTTCACCTGGGCAACAGGAGGGAGGGTCATGTGACTGCTCAGAGTTTCCCACCTGGCTACACAGGTGTGTGCGTGTGTGTGTGTGTGTGTGTGTGCGTACCTCCATCACAGATCCAGACAGGATGATGTGAGCGCAGAGAGGACTCTGAGGGTCGAAGCCCTGCTGTCTGCAGTACTCAGTCTGAGCCAGAGACATGGACAGAGACGCCTGAGGGTTCACCTGCACGCAGACGGATTAAACTTTATTTAACCACGAGTGAAACGCACTGACGTTAAAACAGCCTCTTTATCAACAAGGCCAAGACCTTCAGACACACACGAAGAACAAACTGCAGAAAGACTTATGTCTTTTTAAGACTTTTAAGACACTTTATTTTTATTTTAGTTTCATCTCTTGACCTCGGCAATCCAGACGTACTTTTTGTTTGTATGTTTCTGTGGTGCATGAATTCACTCTACAGTAAAGTTAAGTGGCCTTTAGCACCTACATATCAGTACCTACACTTTAATCGACTCCTTTCCTTCCTAATTTTAACTTAAGCAAACACTTTGATTCACTATCTCAACATTTAAACTATTTAATCAGTTTCATTTTAACTTCCTCTCCTTTTTAGTGCCTGAACTTTAGGTGCAGCTTCCAATATTAAAAACCTGAAAGTGTTTGAAATGTCCTCATTTTTTATAAATTTCCACTTTTTCTAGTTTAATGGACCGTTTTGATGCGTGTATGTTGTTCCTCAGATGAAAGTCACTTTGGATAAAAGCGTCTTCCAAATCAATAAATGTAAAATAATCACTGTGAACCTTGAACCCTCTTCTGTAAAATGCAGCTTACAGACATTTTTCACAGACTCAAGACGTATAAAAGCAATTTCAAGTCATTATTCCAACAGTTTGACATCAACAGACCAATGAAACGTGTCTGCTGTTTATCACGCAGCGTTTTCCTGTCACATGACTTCAGCTCTGACACGTGACTTTAACTCCAAACTGCTGAGTCATTGTGTGAAAGAACCGCTGTGTCATGGTAGAGACTCTGCTGTTGCATAAACCCTAAGCTGCGTGTTTTCATAACTTTTAATAACATGACTTTTTGTCATTTTGCAGAAGTTCACTGAACTAATGAGTGAAACAGGAATAAAACTGACTTAATAATAAAGATTTCTTCACTTGTTATTGGCTCCAAATACACAAAATAATAGCATTTTAAACAAACCAATTTTAAGTTAAATTTTAACATAAAAGCAAAATTATATCATAGAACCCACAGGATATTAAAAAAACCTTAATGTAACAAAAACATAAATTCTGTACCGAGTATCAGACACAAATCAAATACCAGCAATATTAAAGGAATATTAAAGTATTTCTGGACAGTTTGTGGTATTTGTTTAACACTGTACAATCTACAAAAAAAAAAAAAAAACAATAGATTCAGGTTTTCTAAGTTATTATTGAAATAACTACCATTAGATATATTTAAAAGTATTAGAGTTTATTGATAATAGTTGTGAACAGTTTATAGCTACATTATAAAAATAATATTAGAAATATCTGTGTTTTTGGTAAAGTTTATGTCACCAAAAATACT